AACTCCGTTCCACGTGTTACACTTATTGTTTTATGTTCGCGAAAAACTCGATCGAACTCATTTCGCGAACCGCAGAAAACCGTGTGCACGAAAGAAAACTGCCTTATTGTCAGCATTATAGGGTGAAGGGGAAAAAATAAATCCGATCATGGCGGAACTTCAATACAGTAATCTGGGCTGTGAAGGCTGGGATACGTGATATTGAATAAATCCTCACGCAGTCCCCATATATTATTTGATGAATCGTCAGTTACTGAAGTCCGCAGAACTTCTTTCAATACTTACCGCTTTATGTTCACGAAAAACACGATCGAACTCAATTCACGAACCGCAGAAAACCGTGTGTGCGAAAGAAAACTGCCGTATTGTCAGCATTTGGGTGAAGGGGAAAAATAAATCCAAACATGGCGGAACTTCAATAATATGGGCTGGGAAGCATGGGATACGTGATATTGAATAAATCCTCACGCAGTCCCCATATATTATTTGATGAATCGTCAGTTACTGAAGTCCGCAGAACTTCTTTCCATACTCACCGCTTTATGTTCACGAAAAACTCGATCGAACTCATTTCGCGAACCACAGAAAACTGTGCGTACGAATAAAAACTGAATTATTGACAGCATTTCATTGAAGAAAAAGAATAAACCAATCATGGCGAAACGTCAATGATCTGGGCTGGGATACCGTGATGTTGAATAAACCCCGCGTCCCGAATATAATATGACGAATTGTCCATGATTCAAGTCCGCGGAACTTCTTTCCGCATGCGTTATACTTACTGCTTTATGTTCACGAAAAACTCGATCGAACTCAATTCACGAACCGCAGAAAACCGTGTGTACGAAAGAAAACTGCCTTATTGTCAGCATTTGGGCGACGGGAAAAAATTAATCCTATCATGGCGGAACTTCGATAATCTGTGCTGGGGAACCTTGATATTGAATGAACCCTGATTCCCGAATATCCCGAATATAGCACTCTATGATGAATTGTCAATTATTTTACTACAGTCCACAGAGCTTCGTTCCATGTGTAACACTTATCGTTTTAATCCTTCAAAAACTCAATCGAACACCTTCCGCAAACAAAACAATAAACTGCGCAAAGAAAACTTCCCTTCGTTGACATTTCGTTGAAATTGTTTTGGTAATCCGTATACGACTTCATGATTAACAAAGGGTGAAAAACAATTAGAACGATGCCAGCGGTTTTCTCCCATTTTATCATGTTACAAAAGATAGTCTGATTTCATATTATGAAGAACTTTTTTCTACATATTGAACTTGTTTTGAAAAGTCGATCGAGCTCCTTCGACGAACCGTCGTTGGAAGCATTTCGTTGAGAAAATACTATGCATAATTATCGCTGTCTGGGCTGATACCTCATTCATTATTGTGAAAAAGTTCAAATAAATGGAAAATATAAGACCGTTGAATATTCTTAAACAGTACGCATGGGAGAGTTAATTTCCTATCATTATGAAGTTCCAATGACTGAATGAATTTGTACGAAGTGTTAAAGTTATTCGTGAATCTGGCAACAAAAAAAAAAACTCTTATCAAACTGCTTCAATGTGACGCACAATTTTTTATTGCTGGAACGTTAACTAGCTCGAGCTGATAACTAGATGCTTTCTTTTCTGATCAACAATTAGGAAAAATAAGAACGTGCTTTTGTTTCAAATGATCTCGTTGTATGAACGTTGACCTGAATGGCGAGGGTGAAGGCCATAGGGCAACGCACTCATCCTTCGTGGTAAAGGTTTTTTTTTATAAGTATCATCTCGCAAAAAAAAAACTCAATTGTACTTCTTCCTTCTATCTAAAATATTTCTGATTTTGCGAGCGTTTTCTTGAAGACAAAGACACATTAGAATTGGACTTCCATCATCCGGACTCAAAACCTATTCTTCCGGATAGGGGAAAATCTCAAATGGCAAGAACTGGCAAAAACGTTTCACTCGAAACTCAACATTGCTGTATCGGGAATTACTTTAGACTTCATATGGTTTGAATTCTTTGCTTCAATATTTGGCGCAGAATCTTATCAACATTATTTGCCCCCTGCATGCATGGCATCAGTTTTACTGCATAATATATTATTATGACCCTAAAATCTGTATACTTCATGAAACGCTGGAAATATGGAGTTGAAATGCCGTGAAAGCACTAACATCGGACTACATTGGAGAGCTAACTGAATTATTTTATTTTAAGCATACGCTTTCTTCGCTTTAAAGCCCATCCAGTTGCTCGAAGAAATAATAAATTACGTAGCGTTTAATTTTTCGAATAAATTTCTTTAAACTCTGATCTCATCCTGGCAACTTTTCTGTGGCACAGTTTTAGCGAGCGGTGAAAGCAGCGAAAAATCCCGAAAATATGCCAGCATGCAGAACAGATACCAATTGACAAATATCTCTGATGAAGGAAGATTGTAAGCATATTTTTCAGATTCGCTCCATGTTTCCTTGATAAATTTGCATCAGTATTATTGGTCTGAGCACAGAAAATGCATTATGCGGAAGGGTTGGGATTCATGAAACGTTTTCTGCCATTGCTGAACCTTGTTGCTTCTGGGCAAGGATATGCAGGTCAGGAGGGAGAAAAATACATTTTGGAATGAAGTATTCTTATTCGGACTGATGTGTAACTTTTTTTTTATGCCTTATACTTAATTTCGTAGAAGAGCAGAAATACAGATGGGGTCAAAACAACCTTTTTACCAGTCATTGGGCTTTTTTTTCGGGAAAGAAAGGCGTGTATGTGTCCCCCATGACGAGTTTTCTGTTGGGAACACAACTTTAAGGATCTCCTGTTCTTTCTTTGGCACAATCAAATTGATATGTAGTTCAAATGAGCAAATACATGTAATGCTAAGCTTATGCAACATAATTTGTTTTGTCCGGTAGCATTTGGTCCAAATGAGAAGCATTCCTCATTAAAGGGTGGTCAAATTAATCAGGTTCAACCGTTGTATTATGTTCAAAAAGTTTACTCATACATTCCCCATGAATGAGTAACAATAATGCAATCCAGTCAGATTAGAATTAGAGTGGCTCTTTTCAATTCAAAGTGACTTATTTATGCGACCAACGTGGTAGGAAATGTTAACAGAGTTTTTCACCGGAAACTGTACTTCATTTGTACCATTGGTGTCGGGGGAATGGATTGGACCGCGAGCGATGCCAGGGACTTTGTTGACCCAATCATGGGTCGAACGCGTGGTCGGAATGAGTGACGTGCGTCACTGTTGTCCTAAACCCAGCAGACAAAAGTATATCCGATCCAGGAAGTATATTAGCTTCTTTCTTGTGTGACGGGTCAAACTGTGCAGGACTTATTGCTTTAATAATAATACATTTCTTGTTACTTCTCTGAGCTGCGTAAATGAAGAAAAAAATATTCACATATTTCCTAAATTTCCAAGAATTATTAAATGACACTACTGTACAAGTATATTTCTTGATGTTCGGAGTTCTGGCTCCCATAACATCGCCGATTCCTTAGATGAACGCACATTTCCTTCCGCATTTCAGAAGGAACGCAATGGGGTCGTTATGGTATTTCCAGTCCAATACTGTAGCTTCTGCTCTCTATTCCAATTTTCCGCAAGTGGACCAGAAAATTCACCGGAAAAATTAGAAAGCTCAATATTTAGTCCAACGCGTTCGAAGTCAAAATTTGGAAAGACACTGCAAAGGTGGACGCTTGAAAACGGGTTGAAGTAATCGAAAATGTCATTGTATTTTAATTCGTCGTACTTTCCCCATGTTCGCAAATCCCCCCCTCCCCGACATTTCAAACTCGAACTTTGTTTTTTGATGATCATAAATCTGCACCATGCAGGAAAGACAAATAATCTGCATATTTATTATAGTACGCGATCTTTGAATTCCTTCCTTGAACTTTTTCCAATTATTTTCAGATGCTCTTTGAGTTCCGATCAAATAGCGATGAAATCCGTTGAAAGCAATGAAAACTCAAATGGTGAGAGAAGCACGGTGGGGAGACAACTTCAGCGGGATTCTCGGTTATAATGCGAAAATTTCCTACTTGCAGACGCGTAAGGCGCATGCATGAATTTCGACACGGCTAACATGCTGTCGACGCTTGACAACTATGATTCCTCCCAAGTGACAGCTACTTGCTCATGCACAACGGACGCCAAGATAACCATGGTCACGTTCGCCACGTCACTCCTATTGGTCCTTCTTGCGCTTCTGTATCTAATTGTGTTCTACATAATTTGATTAAAGTTACGCCACTACACTTGATGCCATGTGTCTCGTATTTTTCCCAGTATTCTGCTGATTTTGAGAACAAGATGCACCTTTTGCAATAAATGTTCCGCCAACACGTACCCGTCCACTGAGTGGACATCATTCATTCTCCTCTCCGTGCAGGCACACAAAACTTTAGGGATAAACATTCTTTCATAGTTTGTATGTAAATTCTCACCTGAAATCAAGAGCTTCAAAACTTATTTCGTTTGTTTGAATGCTTTAAAGCTTTGCAATAATTCAATAACATTGCAAGCTAAGATACACTACGCTACTGGGAAATAGTCATAATCAATCATATAATCATTTTGAGTACAACAGTGAGGCACTATTTGAGGTGATTCAGCATACGTAAAAGTTGAACAAAAATGTGATGCATTCTTCGAACTCTGAGATGGCTGTTGACCAGAACAAAAAAGCTCATGTTTTTCTGGAATGCAAAGATAAAATAATTCTTCCGGTCTTATTATCCGAGTTCAACTTCCTGCAGTGGAATGTCCATAAATTCCAGCTAAGCCTTGCATGGAATGAGAGGAACAAACTCGTGAGCTCCAGAGGAGCTTGATAAAACATGTCTTCAAAAAGGAACTTAACACAAGCTGGTGTCAACGAAAAAGCGTGGGAAATACCCCCTATCTGAACCCTGAACTGCGCAGCACTTGCTCGAACATGACGTAAAAATATTTTGTTCCTTTGTCCTGGCATTCCGTCAATCAAGTACAAAAGCACAACTTCCGAACGAGCCACAGTCAGTCAATGCAGTCGCGTTGGACAGCTTATTGGCATCGTGTTTCCAAACAAAAGTCATGAATACCTACATTATTTTGCTTGTGGTTCTAATTTTACCTGCCTTAACCCTGGGCAAGAAGCCAAATAAGGGTGGTGTAGTTAGGGGTAACAGGAGAGGTACTGTGCGGAACACCAACATCAAATCCCCCGGCGATGCGTGCGGCTGCACCGGAATCATCCGCAGGCCCGTTTGCGGAACCGATGGCAACACTTACAACAATGTGTGCGAGCTCAACTGTGCTAATCAGAACAGTCAAGTTGGTAAGCACCAGCTGAAAATACCTCTGTAACCTGCCTTTATTGTTAAATCGGAAAATGTGAAAAAAGTTGGCGAGTCCCGTGTCTTCATCTAAAAAAGTACCAGCATTTCTTTGACTGCTTAAGTCAAAGGAATACTCAAATTATAGGTTAAAAAGGACTTAAGAAATGGGGCCCCAAATATTTTAGACCGTTCTCCAAACAAAACTTTAAAACTATGCAGGATTAAATACGGAGTTTCATGTCAAATAGCTTTTTTTGTTAAAAAAAAGGAAATTTTCCATATTATCATCAGTCCAAATACGTGGTGCTAACACTAATTAAAATCAACTTACCGTTGAGAAACGTTTCCGAAGTAGAGATGAAATTTCATTCCAGCTACAAAGGAATAAATAATCATGGACACATCAACCATAAAACTTAGCATACAATTAAACGCCAATATGAAACGAACTCCATTTAAAAGCAATTGCTAAGATATTATTTGAGTTCAAATTAATCCTGCCCAGTCTCTTTTTTTTAAATCCGATAAAATGCTGCTAGACCAACTGAATCTGCAAAGATTTCATCAAATTATGCATTCTCTTCCATGCAAATAATTTTTACAGAAATATCAGTGAACCTGGAGTACTGTCGATGTACAAGCGCCACTGAAGCAATATTATTCATGATTTTTTTTTAAACCTTAAAGGGTTTTGTATTTCAATTCGAATTTCCTCACGTGCAAGTACAGTACCTTTGAGGTCTTCCATGTGAAGATTTGATCGTTCTCAGCATGAAAGTTTGATTCGCCGGAAAATAATGTCCCCACCTGATGAAAGGAAACCGAATCTTCGATCGTCAATCTAAACTTAGAAGAATCTTGTGCTGTTATGAAGTATTGTTTGCGTAAATTGGATAAATACTCGTATGCCGCACTGCAATACGATAGTCGTGTATGACGGGGAGGGGCTGTTTGAATGTAGGCTCCGACTCTTAGATCTTTTATAGGTTATCATTGAAAGATTTTGTCTATGAAGCACATAGATGGTGCTCCTTTTCTCGTGAAAGAATGTGCTCGGGGGGGGGGGGGGGGGGGGGTNGGGGGGGGGGGGGGTGGGGGGGGGGGGGGGGGGGGGGGGGGGGGGGGGGGTCTACAACAATTTCAAGATAATGGTGCAGTACAGTACTAAAACGTAAAAAAGTGTACCTGACAGGAAAGAACAAGGAAAATTTTGCTTCGATACGCGGAATTTTGTATGGCCCACTTTGAGTAGTTGCGAACATTTTAGACGCGACAATGCTGGCCGCATGAACACAAAGCTTCTTTTGAATCAATTGTACTTTCGCGCATGTTCTGACGACGACATAAGTACTGTAATTTGATGCGTGTCAAAGGCGGGGTATTTCTGTGTCGTAAAAAAAGCAAGTCGCCTATTAATAAGCATTCTTAATTTTTTCAATCCTATCTGCAGCTCGTTAAAAATATAGCGAATTATTTCAGGACGTTTTTTAAGTTCTGCAAGCAGTATGAGCGCCCCTTCAAATCTGTTTTTCAGTCCTTTCAATTCGTAAGTTATAAAATCTTCACTCATCGCGTTTCAGCATTAATCTACGATAAAAAACTGTAAATCATTTGTCGCCCGAATTTTTGTACCCACAAAATTAAATGTCATGCATTCATTTCAACACGAGCCAATCTTCTTAATTCTCACTTTTGGACTTTTCGATTTGTTTCTGTCATTTTTGGAACTTCCGATGTCCTGAATTTGGAAAAATGTTTTAGGAACATTAAAAGACGGCCGAGAAGCACAAAAAACAGGAAACCTTTCATTTTATAAATTAAAAAAAATCGGAACTGAGGACTTCCAAACTTTCTACCTGACACCTTTTTGGAAGAACATTTCCATCGCAGTCGATTCCACTATCGAATAGCGCGCCACTAAATTGCAGCCAAGCTAGAAAACGTCTCACTGATTCGATTTCTCCAAAAAACTTTTTCAATAAACGGCAAGACGCCAATTTCGCGACGTATGGATGAAAGAAATCTTCTCGTCAAAATACTGTTCCCGTTTGGCAACCCCCTTTTCTCCTCTTTATGCAAAAACACACAAGAAAGCCAGCAGCAGTGCCCGTGAAGAGTGTATAACGCAAAAGCCAACGAAGGTGCCTATACGAGGGGTCTTAACGAAAATTCTCGGACTAGAAATTAAAATGGCAAATAATTGAGCTGAAAAAAATGTTCTCTAGGGAAAACATATTCTTTGGCACAAGAAAAAAATCAGCCCTGTTTGACACATTTTTTGTGAATGTTTTTCAAAATTCTCCCTGGCAGAGTTTTGCTTTCCACTCAAAAGATAAGGCGCCCTTCCTGCAGATCTTGTTGTAGCCCAGTTTTCCCCTCAGAATTCTTGAAATCAACGCGGCATTAATTCCAAGGGTTGCCTCCATGTCTTTCAAGATAATTCCGCCATTTTCATCAACAGCCGCCTTCACAGCCGCCACATTGGCGGCTGTTCTCGGAATTTCTATTCCGAGAAGTTTTGTTAGAGCCCTCGTATGATGTCCAAGGACATCTACCAAGACACTTGACTGGAGCTCATCGGAGTACTGTACATTGTAAAACGTACAAGATATTGATACGCAAACGTATTCATAATGCAACTTTCTCATGCTCATGTCGTGTCTATATTGTTTGAAAGACAATAGACGCTGCTGTAAAGATTCCGTGTGCAAGGAGTACGTCGGCCGGGAAAATCTGAATGGGCGCTGCAAGCGTTGGATCGACAACCGCGGCATCTATACACCGAAGCCTGATCCGATCCGCGACGAAAACTTCCCTGAACGATCTGTCCGCAATGCTCAGAACTACTGTCGCAATCCGGACAAAGGCAAGTCAGGACTTTGGTGTTACACCGGCGTTGGAAAGCCTCTACAGTACGAACGCTGTGTGAACGTACCGCAGTGTAGTGAGTCCTTCTGCCTTCGAAATAAAGAAAAGAGCGAAATTCATGTTTTAAAAATTGCCCGAATTTCAGGTATAACAGTGGCTTACCAGGGCGAATGCCGAAGCATTGGATCCACGTCGGGTTGATTCGGTCACCCTCCCGTCACAGTTCTTCGTGGAGAAAATTATCGCCTGGAAGGACATGCCTGTAAACTTATCGGTTTCTTTGATCTGCATACTTACTGCATTTCCAGGTAAAAAATGAAGCAATAAAGCAACAGAAAAATGTTTGAAAATCAAGTGCATCGGTCACCTTCCCGTCACAGTTCTTCGTGGAGAAAATTATCACCTGGAAGGATATGCCTGTAAACTTATCGGTTTGATCTGCATACTTACTGTATTTCCAGGAAAAAAATGAAGCAATAAAGCAACAGAAAAAATGTTTGAAAATCAAGTGCATGCGACTGTCCGGTATTGAAAGAGCCACAGCTTCGATTCAGAGTTTCCGAAAGATTCCCTTTACGCAGTTTTTTTTTTCTAGGTTCCCAGAAAATAGAGGTAAGGTTTTTGGCGAAAGTCACATTTTTAGTAATCAAATCCAGCTTCTTTGAAGAACGGTACACGAAGTTCAGAATCAGGAATTTATTTTCTGCCCTTCATCACGATTCTCAAAGCGTTGGGAGATCGTTGACTCATTCCTCGAGATGATTTCCGGTATCTTTCTCTTCATTATTCCGTGCTGCAGTTCGGCCAGACGCATTTTGCATCAAATTTGGTTAGGGAATGAGTCTCACCTGTGCTGAGAATGGTCTGAGTATTTGCCTAACGACGAAGCGGTGCCGCTGAATAACTGAATTATTTCAAAATATAAAAGACGTAGTGGACTGTCATCGCACAAATTATACATTTCTTCCAATGGTACCGTCATTTCCTTTCCAGCCGGGTTGCCTCTCCATTTCACATTTTCACCATATATATTTTTCTTGCAATTTATAATTTATAATTCAAGAATAATGCAATCACCTCAAGAAGCTTGAATCAACCCGAGAATGTAAGGAAAATATTTGTTTCAAGTTATTTTTGTTTCTTCGAGGATGGTGCGAGAGCAATTTTTATTCTTGGAAAGATGATTAGCTGCACATTTGTTTCCACCGATCTGCCCCCTCTTTTAATTCTTGCCCCTTCGTTCTACATAAAAAACGGAATTCTAGAAGATCTCGAAGTTTCCTATCATTCACTGTCCGAAACTCGAAGATGTCGTTGAATGACACACCCCTGTGTACGCAATAAAAAGCAAAAGGTTGCATGCTTTTAAAAATACACGATAGATGTCACTAACAAGTCCTTCAAAACCGGAGCGCTCGTTGCGATCCGAGTGCTGAAGAACGGAAGTCCCTTCATTAGGTTCGTTGGTTTCATTTCTCAAGCGAAACGCAAGGTAATATTTCAGGCTTATTATAAAATTCTGAGAATTACCAGAATACCATTGTTATATAGTACAATCACCAACACTTGCCCCAATATTTTTCCCGAAGAGAAACCCATAAGTTCTTTCACGCACATTATTTGTAACATTTTCATTTACAGTACTGTATTTGGAATGTGAAATTTTGTTCTGATTTGCGCATGAAAGTGACTTGGTTGGTGAACAGTTTGGCCAAAACTTCCCTCATTCGAGACCACACAATATCATTCACGTATTGCACTCTTATCTCATCGTGTGTTATGTCACGCAAAAATATTCTAAGCTTATTATGTTACCCATACTGAAAATTAGGATCGTGCGTGTCATGTTCCACGAACATTTATTTTATTGAAGTAAAATTAAGAGCAAAGAGGTGAAACGATCATATGTTAATATTGAACCACAAACCGAATTGGAAAATTAACTTTTGGGGCATTTTATAAATGTAAGGAACTTGTGGATCACAGAAGTCGCCACGAAATTAGATCCACGGCGAATGAAGAAATTACAGCAATAATGCACTTCATGCTTGTTTTCGAATTTGTAACTTCCTGTTCTGTATTATTGCAACGCACCCCGAGGGGTGAATGTGCTACCGTATTCCATCGTCTTTCTGTTCATTATTATTTTTAATTGGAGGCCTGCGGGGATGTAAAAGGCACACAGTAACTGAAGCATAGGAAAATGGACGCTATTATTACAGTATTTAATTTTTCGTGTGAGCTCACAACGATAAAGCCCAGAATATTTTGGGAAAATTTACCCCAAGGCTCAATTAGGTAGTGTGGAATTATTTAGCATCCATGACCTGTTGAGTAATCAAAAGTTCAGAGAGTGCCTCTTTTCATAGATATACTGGTCAGTATAGTTCTTGAAATCAAGATTCAATTTATTTCGTCGTGCGTATTCAATTTTCTACCAGTTAACCATGCTCGAATAAATCCTGGATTTCATGCACCCAACTTTTGAATCCGAAGAAATTCTTGTACCTTGAGTCACCGGATGGTCTCACGAGGATCCCACATGATTCTTTTATTATTAATGTATTATTATTTTCATACAGTACTGTTTAAACTTGATTATGCGTGAAACTGATTGCGACGGAAAAGGAATGACGATAATATTCGTTCAGGTTGTTATAGGATACAATTTTCGTCTTTAATCGTCCCCAACTTTCAATTATCAGGAAGAAGGCATCCAGTCATTAACCTGGATAACGGAGATCACACTGCATAGTATTTTACGGCAAGCATTGGGCAGGAACGATAAAGTTCTACGTACACATAGTCGCCTCTGGACACGAAAAAATGCGATTTCCCCGGGCGATTTCCGGTACATACGCGAGGAAGAATTCTTGGCATTCACGAAGATTGTCTCTGGCTCGTACGCATGGGACATTCGGGAGGGTACATTCCCCTCGTCAGTTTCAAAGAGCTCGTGAAATCAGCTGGTCGGTGGCAGTGAGGTGTTGAGACCTACTGACACATTTCCCAATTCCCGCGTTGTTTGTTCGTGTCTTTTCATGAATGCCCATCTCCTTCCACCAAGGTCCATTGTGATCTTAACTGCAGGGAACTTTTCGAAATTATGACACTATGAAAGTTCATCAGCCATCCAAGCAGGTACCATCGGAACTTGTCGCATCATTGTCCTCACGTCGAGGACACGCTATGAGCTCGTTTTCAAATCTCGTCTCTTGATCCGTGCCATGTTTTTTTAGACGTTTAGTTGTACTTCGTGGATCGATGACATGATATGGATATATTTATCCTACAATAAAGTGTCCCGGAAAACTGCAACAGAATTCCTGACCACCACTGTTCTTAGCAACGGTCAGCATACCCCAGGAAATATATTGGTGAGATGATGGAATGGCCTTGGTGCCTAAATGACCTGTTTCCTCGAAAAATTCGTTTCGACGAAAAAGTTTTTGAAGTTTTGCATTATTCTCACATCTGAACACATAATGGCGCAACTTATCCTGAGAGAGTGCATAAAAATAATTCAAAGCCCATTTCTCCAGCCACAACACCAGCTGCATCAGCTGTAGTATAGATTAAAATCTTGTATTGCAAGCTTTCCACTGATTTCGAAATACTGTACCTGTATTTGTAACCTCAGAAAAAGTTAGTTCCATAAAGAACTATACTCTATGATCCAATTATTATTATTATTATATATATTTTGTTTTTGTTATCAGGGAAATAAGAAGTGTATGGACAGTATTTACATCAGTTGTGCAGTTTTAATTTTTGGGATATATTTTCTTTTGTTTTAAATTCCATGTACAGCTTGGTTCTCTGTTCTCCATTCTGATCTGAAGAATGTATTTATGAATGTGGGTGGGGAGGGGTTTTGGATGTGGGAACATTTTTGCTTGAACCTTGTGTATGCTGAAAAGGGAAAAAATAAAGTTTGCTGTTCAATTCAATTCAATAAAGATATATGTAACTCGAGATGCATACGTCAGATCAATCTTAATGCATAAAGCTTGAAGATTCCATATTTAATGCAATAAAGCCACCAATGACTTTTTTTGTATGGATATTTCACAAATCCACGACTGCACTGTCAGGAAAAAATCTGAACTATGTAATTTTTGCAACAATTCTAAGAGGCGCCAGACAAAATTATTGATGCATTTTTTTTGTGAGCCTGAGAACCAAACCCAGGTTTGGTTCCCAGGCTCACCCAAGGATGTTTCCTAAAAATGCAAAAGGGGAAAGAATGAAAGTTGCCAAAATCTGGCCTTCATTCTTAATCCAAATACAGTGGCCCCTGCCTAACAGACCTCCCGTGTAAGGGATTTTTGCCAAACAGACCAGCTCTGCAAGCAATTTTTCCTCCTGCCCAACAGACAAATTCCGCCAAACAGACTTCTTTTGGTTTAAAATTAGTGTTGAAAAATGAACTTTTTAATTTTGTATTTAATTGAANAATTCCGCCAAACAGACTTCTTTTGGTTTAAAATTAGTGTTGAAAATTGAAATGTTTAATATTTTATGTAATTGAATTCGTGTAAAGGACTTTTTGTCTAACAGACTTGTCCCTTGCACAAATCAAGTCTGTTAGACAGGGGTTGACTGTAGTTGTTGTGGTTAACTAAAAACCACTGGATTGTCACTCTGCGTTGAACTCTCAAGTCATGCGTATCTCTGGAGAACTCTTGCAAATTTGCGTGTGTCAAAGTCTCAAACCAATTCCGAAATCAGTTTCTTCTCTTGTACTTGTGAAACTTCTTCTAATTGCTCAAATTGAACTTGCCTTGATCAATATAACATTTTAAACTAGGACAACAAGTCCAGGCCACAGCCCAGCTGTTTGAACTGTGTTTCATTTTTTCTTAATCATCAAAATCTGTTACGAAATTTGTACTACCTCAACCTTCTATATTTTCCGCCTTTTGTGTGGTAAAAGAAAGTTCCTCTGCAAATCTTTTCCTCACATGCACTGCATTAAGAGAATGTTATCCAACAGAGTTGCAAAGATTTTATTTGTTGAGAAACCAGCTTTTTATTTCTGAAAACTGCGCAATTTTATTTGATTGTGTGGGGACGTTTTCCTGTAACCTATGAATCATGAAATAAGGCAGGTCTCACTTGAACATCCATGCAACACGGACGTTGTTGTTCTTTCAAACTTCTCAGTGGAACTCAGATCCCCATTCTCTAAATTGAACCCAGAAGCTTAACAACCTCTATGCGCACAGATTAATTCAGTCATCTGAGTAAATCTTCAGTTTTCAATAAAATCAGTAGCAAATACGTCTGAAGAAATAATCACAGATATTTTGTCATCGCTCTTGGCTTCAGAGAAAATTTCTAGAGAATTTATGATTGATTGGCTCTCGCAATGATCGAAACATAATAAATTGCTGGACCTGTTGGCAAATTTTGGACTAATTCCAAGGGAAGTGACATTGTCTAAGGAAAAAAATCGAGTAGAGTTCATCATCTCTCGCACAAAATACAAGCCTTCTACACGTATTGCAACTCAATTATAAAGATC